GGGGCTCTTCTGCTCCGGGAAAAACGGCAGAGGCAGCGGAACGGCCGCACCGCATATAGACAGGTGTGAGCTGCTCCAGCCCCTGGTCTGCCCGCACAAACAGGCGCTTTGCAATCGTCCCGCTGTCACGAGTTGTTAGGTTGTGCAGAGAGATCCGCAAACAGAATGAGATTTTTAGAGAGGATCAATGAAACCACTGACTCCGGATCAAGGCTGTCCAGAGTTCCCCCTCCCGGCTCTCCAGAGCACAAGTGCTTCAGCAAGGGAGTAGCCAGCAAAGGGAGAATTCACAACAACTGCAGGTGAAGCCTTCAAGATGTTGTGTGGTTTATTTATTTAGTATCAGACGTGTGAATGGGAATGTTTGTCATCACAAGTGGCAGTGTGCTGTTCTGGCACGTGCAGGGCTGTCGAGTGGTCAGCTCCTCAGGAACTGGAAGTCTATGAACTCCAGACCTGCTCCTATAGAAAACATATTTGCTCACAAAGCAGAGCTCTGATTAAATGATCCTGTTAGTTGTTTCTTGGTGTTTTGTATTTGCATTCCAAGTACTTGGTGAGGTGTAAAACCACAAAATATGGACATTATCTCCTTCTTGAAGAAAGGATGGACTGGAGTTAGCTAAAGCCAAGAGTGATGTGTTCAATAAAAATGATGTCATTTCACAGTAAATCAGGAAACCTATGGGAAACCTGCAATCCACCTAAGGCTGCCCAGCCTGATGTTGCATGGTGGTGGCATCTCTTATCTACTAAGATTATCATTCTACCACTTCCCTTGGGAAGAAGGGTAAAGAAGAGATTTTCAAACATACTGATGGAAGTTTTGGATTACAACAGGTCCTAAATTAAGAGGATCCTATCTGTTCGGAATGGCTAGGAAGAAGGAACAGGAAATAGTAAAATCTGAATCAGTTTTGAAAGGCTGAATTAATTATGATCATTTATCTCTCTTAGAAGTGTAGCTTTCTTGGCTGGACTTCTACCTTTTGTGCTCTGAGCACTACCTTTAATGAGTTTGGTGGGCACATGAAGCCTTATAAAAGGAACTTCTGCAAGCCCAGACTAAACTTCATTTGTTGCTTTGGGAGGGACTTACAGTGAAGCAGAACTGTTTGTCATGCTGAAATTGGCTTAAAAGTCATCTAAGACACAGATAACAGGTGACACACTTTTAATTTTATTTAATATGACTACACGTGAACTTTTTTCCTAGAAGGAAACTCTTCAAATAAACTTGTGTGAAAACAAACAAACCAACAAAACCCCAAAAACCTGAACAGCTATGGACACAATGAAAACAGCCTATGCCTTCATTTGTTACAGTGTTCAAATGTATCTCTGCATTGTAATACACTCAGAGTTTTTAGGAATTTCTTTCCAATTGCAAAGCTGTGAAATTCCATCATTTTGTCCTTCGGAATATACCAGATGATCAACTGTTAGGTTTGGTGCTAGCTGGCCTTTGCTAGCAACAATGCCCAGAAGTATTTTTAGAGGAAAATTAGAGAAAGGGATAATATCCTGTCTTTAAGTTAACTGGAAGCTGCTAATAATATAATGGAGACCTCCCCCCCCCCCCCCGACCTCACCAGCAGCAGGCAGTTATTGTGTGCACAAGACCTGACCAAAGATGTTCTGTAGAGATCTTATGGAAACAGTGCACTAAATCTATTCAGCAGCTGTGTCTTGAAGAAGAAAAAAGGAAAGAAAAGGGTAAAAAACTCATAAATACTCCTTCCCAGATAAAATTTTATAAAAGACAATATTAATAGGACTGTATTAACTCAAACTATACCTAACTTTGTTATCTAACTACCTGCTTAAATCAGGTTTTTGAAGACTTGGTTCCTCATCCTCAGCAGCTGCTACTGTCACATAACTCACAGTTCAGGCAGGGATTACACTGCAAATGATCACTGGGCAGGAGAAGATGACAAGTATTTTTTCTTCACTGTTGGGTTTTTTACTTCTTTTTATTTTAGGTGTTACTGGTTAAATGGCTGCTAATGACATTTACAGTCCAGCACAGCTATCAGCCCAGTTATTATATTTGAAATTTTGACTACCCATTGGTATATAGACATTTCTAGTAGATTGGATTTGGCCTTGGTCATAAACTAACTCTGGGAAAATAATGCAATGTAAAACTGTTTTCCTATTTTATAGGACAAAACAACAAAAAAGGGGGGTAGGGGTAGCAGGAAGATTCTGTTGGACAAGGAAGTCACAACATTCAGATGTGATTTAGTCCCCTCTTTCACCCTTTATTGTTCTTGCAGTATTTTTCTTTGTGTATTTAAGCTATTGGAGGGTATCAGTCCTACCCTAGCAATCAACCTCCCTCTGCTGTAAGATCTACCTAGCCAATTGATCAGTGGAGCAGGTGATTACTTTGTATGGTCAGGGAGTCCTGTGCCACCAGAATGCACAGGACCATGTCCAGTTACATAGTCAATTTGCATGTATGCAGTGGCCATGAGGCAGAAAGTCACTTAGGTTTATGGGGCTGCCTGATGTTCAGAAAGATGCTTTTCTGTAGAATCAGTATTTAATCATCCAAAGCCACAGCACTGTCAGGTATGGCATTATATATTCAATCCAGATTGTTCATGACACGAACTGGAGCAGCCCCATTGACTTCACTGATATTAGAAATGACTCATTCTAGCAGGGCTTCTGGCTTTATTTTTTGCCTTTGCCGTGTTTCTCATTAGAAAGGGTTTATGTTGCACAGTTAATTTATTGCAGGTGAAACATTCCCATCTCCTCTGTTTCTCCAGCCAAATGCAACTTTGCATTCCTGTCTAGGAAGACTGCCCTAGGTCCAGTGAAATGAAAATGCCTGATGGTAAATAAAGCATGAGGGAAATGTATAAAGGAGTATACAGAGCAATGGATTAAAGTGTGTGTGCCTGCTGGAGCTAGTGTTTGTTCTTCCTTACACAGCTCAAGAGCTCGTGGGCAGCTGGTGACTGTGAACCAGCCTGGGGTGTGTCACTATGGTTCTAGGTTGGATTGCTGTTCTGGATGGAAGAAGAACAACAAGGGCGACTGCGAAGGTAACATTAACACTTGATGTTTGTTTCCTCTCTGTGTCCGTGTACTTGGTACTAATAAAGGGGTTTCATATATGTCTGCCAGAAGTTATGGAAAGAAGCCTTCTGAGGATGAAATCTCTTAGCTCTATGAGAGAATGAATAAAACATGTTTGAGAGATCATCACCCCACAAACAGAGCTTTCGGTAAATAACACCACCGTGTTACATGTCTTAGATCCAGAAAGGACCAGGTCTTTTAACCTCCTGCACAGCCCTGGTCAGTGCCTATACTGTTACAGCTGTTGAGCAAGTGCCAAAAATGCAGTGTTTTCCAGTGCTACCTAAGGAATGCCAAAATGGTTTTCTTTTGGTATCCTTTATTTTCAGAGTACACAGCCTCTGAGAATTAGGAGGTTTTAAGTTTCTAAACATATAAATAAAATTCAAGCAGTAAGTGCACCTGACTTGAGCTTGGGTAGCCAACCAGCGTTCTGGTCTGTGGATTACTGGCTTAATTAAAGGACAGTGACTCTTAAGACACTTCTACTATGTAAAAGGTCTACAAATCCCAAGAAGAAGGCAATGTGGAATCTCTCTCTGTAACTGTACTTTGTCAAAACCCAACAAAATCATAAAATACATGTTTTAGGAATCTTTTTCAGATGTTGCACCTGTTGTCCCAGAGACTCTGGCATTTTATGTCTGGTGAATCTGTATAGAGGCTTAGGGTTATTCATTGCTGAAAATCAATACACTAAAAGGGAAAGATGCTAAAATGTCTTTGCTCTGTATATATAATGTCATTTTTAAAAAGGAAAAAGGGATTATTTTAATATTTCTGCATTGCTTCATAGCACCTTAGTTTTGATGCAAGTGAATAGTTGGAGGGACAACTGGCAAATGTAACTTTAATGAGCCAGTGGAGTAGGTAGTCTTGTTTTAAAGCACTAGATTGCTTTCATGCTAAAATACAGTTTTCATAAACTTTGAAGATTTTTCTTTGGCAAATTACTTTATGCTCCCTTAATGTAATTTTAAATCCAGATGTGGTGATGTTCTCCGCTTCAGTGCTAACACTGCAAGCTGGTCTTTGTCAGTCTTGCATGTCCATTGTTACAGTTGAGGAATGTGCCTATCCCATGGAAGAACATCCCAAGCAGGGGTGCTTGAGGTCCAGGGGGAACATCACAGGCTAGTTATGAATGCAACAGTGTGCCATGTTGCATTCAGGATAGAAGTGTTGAAAAATGTCTCAGTCTGCAGAGGTTTGTGGATCAGTACATCTGGATGAATCTTTAAATGTAGGAGAGATACTTCAATTCAGAAGTATGAATTTTAATTATTAATTTTACTATATAGTAACTAACACTGTGACTTTCCTATAGTTTGTGGAGCAGCTTAATTACACAAGGTATCAAGATGTGTGTCCTGGAGCATATTCTTTCACTGTTTTTCCAGAGCTAGTCGTGATTTAAATGCATGCTCAGTTTGCTTTTCCTGAATAGCCCCCATGTTGACAATCAGATGGAGTTTAGGAGCCTTAAGCCTTATAAAAGTCTGCATTTAATTTGTGACTGATGATCCAGAGGGCTGAGAGTTAGAAAATTTTACTTTTTAATGCACCCAAGTTCATAGCTATGCTTCATAGCCCTCTCAAATTATTGTCAGCCTCATGCAATTACACTTACAGGGATGTGTGGTAAGGACAGTTGCCTGATGACAGATGTGCTCTAGTTGTTCCACCATGGGATAGTCATGTTCCTCAGCTGTAACTAAGGAGGTTCAAGACTGTAAAACTTCTGTAGGGTAATGTGCCTTCTTTGGCTGCAGCAGAGTGCTGTTGCCAGATGCAAAACTAACAAGTCAAGCTGCTTCTTACATAGGCTTCTTAAAAAATAGGAAAAAGGAAAGAGTACAAAACTAATGTGAGTCATAAGGGTGGAAGAAAAAAATATGAAGGACAGACCTAAAAGTAATGCCTTCTTTTCCAAGTGTTTACAAACCTGGAAAAAAAACAAACTCTTGTAATTCTTGTCAGTGTCACTTTTCTCAGGCAGAAATAAATTGCTGATCAGTAGCTACCATGCTCAGTCTAGAGGAAGAGGTATGGAGGATGTTGAACTTGTGCAACAAGTTGCCAGGCAAATAGGCAGGGCAAAAGTTCTCAAATAGACTATTTCTAACTTTTTCTTTTTCTCTCTCCTTTCTCTGCCTGACTCTGCCAGCTACCTGTGGACATGGTTGCAAGTATGGAGAGTGCATGGGACCAAACAAATGCAAATGTTTCCCTGGATTTACAGGGAAAACCTGTAATCAAGGTTTGTGCATATGCTTCAGAAAATAGAAAGTTGATTTTCTGTCTCCTTTTCTTGTACTATGGATTGTGTCACCTTTCAAAAATAGTAAACTAGGATATTTTCTTGTTTACATAGAAGAACTTCAGAGTTTTAAGGCTCTTGCATCTCCAGAATCCCAAGCAAGCTCTAAGTGCCTCCTTCAGCACATAGAAGCTTGAATCTATATCCTGCATCTCCTGTGGACTGATGACAAGGGCAAACTATCATGTTTATAGGATTAAGGCATGGAGAGATTATATAGGAAAGTATCAGAAGAGAGGGAAGTGAATTCCAGAACCCATGTTATTTTCTTAACTAGCAACCCATGTTTCTTTCTTAACTAACCTTCCCGTGGGAAATACATACACTTATATGCTAGACATGTAGTTTATTAAGTTGCCAGGGCTGTTTGCATATGCTGATTGGTATTTCTGAGAACCAGAATTGGGAGTCTTTATATTTGCATTTTCAGAAACTTTAAATGCACCACTTTCCCTCCATAAACTTGCAATTAGACATGGAAATCCTTAGCTAACACACTGATAAGAACTCAGCTTTCTTTCTCCTGTTCCAATACATGAGATGTCTGTGATGGATCAGATGAAAGGAGCAGATCACTGTGCATGGAGGGGCCATCCTACTGCAGAGTGAGCTGCAGATGCTGTGATGGGAGCATGACATAAAGGCCACACGAATGGATGGGTCTGCCCTGGCTACCTTCCTGAACTCCTGCAGCCTTTGCTTGAAAATGTTGCACTGACATGCTAAACACACATTTTTTATAGTCAAAACAACCCATATATTCACAGTATCTTTCAAACAACATACCACAAAGCCATACTGTTAAGTATTTTTGAAAACTCCATCTTTTGCACTTTTGATGTTTCTCACAGGGAAAGAAGTTAATTCTTCAGTAGCACTAGAGAGGAAAGGGAGCAGCTGTGGTTATATTTAACAGATATGTAGGTATCACTTACAACTTCAGCCTCAACCCAGAAGTTTAACCTCAAAAATGATTTGGCAGCTTAAATGTTACCTAAAGGCAACAGAGAAACCTCCAGGTTTTAGGTGTTTTTATCTGCATTTGAGATGCCCTCCACAGGCAGTAGATCAGTTCTGTGCACTTGCAGTAGGTTGAGGGTCTGAGACTTGGGGGAAGCACTGCACAGACCTACACATGCTAACCTGAAGCATGGCCAGGAATCTTTTAGTAAAGTGGCACAGGCCAGAAATGTCCCAGAGCTGTTTCAACAGTATAGTCATATAGGTGGTCATGTTCCAGCAACCAGGGATGCTCAGATCCACTTTTTCAGGGCAGAATGCCCTGTTGAGCAAGCTCAACATGAGCTAACTAAAATAACAGAGATAAGGGGACTGTATTAGTCTGCCACCAAGTCTGAGCTAAATTAGCCTTATCTCTATAGGTTCTCTTTCAGAGCTGTGTATGCTCTCTGTGCATTGTGTGAAATCAGTGCAGATAAGCACTTTTGAAAATGTATGGTCTAAGTAGAATAACTTCTGTTCCCTAGTTTGCTCTCTAGTTTCTTTGTTAAGATAGTCTTGGTTATTTAGTGGAGCCACAGTGGCACAAAAATCCAATGTGATTTGCAAGCTGATAGGTTGTCCTTTTTCAAACAGACCCTACGCTTAAATAACAGAATGCAAACCTCTTTTTCTTCCCTGAAAGTTTGTTACTGAGCTGTAACAAACACTTCTGCACATGTATAACCTCCACAAAGTTTATGCTTTGAATTGCCTGGAGTTTTTCTGTGGTCTGCAGGGAGCATAGATATGAGAACAGATGCTTCTCTCATTAGAGGTGCACAAGCTCAGTGCTTGCCTGGAGAGCTGCATTTTCACTGAAATTATATTATTCATGCATGCTGTAGTCATATATGTGCCGTTAAACACATGTTGAATGGGCTGCATATGCTGGTGCATTCTGTTAGTGAGTTCTGTCAGTTGACTAATCAGGTTTCAAACCACGAGAGGCAGAGATGTCAGTTCACAGAAGTCATAAGCACAGATGTTGTCCCCTTGTCATAGGCCCAATATCATTGTCAGCACTGCTCTGCCTATACCACAGAAATGAAACTTTTTAGAATTCTCCTTTTCTCCCTGTGGAGGATAGCTATTGGGAATTTGAATTTGATTTAGCTTCTGCAAAGCTGTTAAATCCTGGATTTTGAGAAAGATTTAGTATCTCAAAATCCTGGGATTTTGAGATTTCTGAGACTGGTCCTTTTATTTTTAAAGTCACATAATTCTTATCATATATTGTATTCCATTTTTGCTGCTGATAACCTTGGTGTCAATGTGTAGCTCAGAAAAAAAAATATCTTTGTTTCATTTTATCTCAAGCTCATTTTCTGTTCTTAGTCTTATGTTTTTTGCCTTTTCAGTACAGAGGTTAACTGGAGGACTAAAATCTCCAGCGAGAATCAGAGAAATCCAGAAAAATAACTCCTAAAAAGAGACTAACTGCAATTCCCTCCACCTCTCCCTAACAAGCTGCCAGATGTGGCCAGAGATTGCATTAGTTTTTCAAGTGTAGAAGTCTGTGTGTGCTGGTTTTGCTAGGAGTCTTTGGGCCAGATGGTCTGCTAAACTCTCATCTTGCAAGGGGCTGGCTTGTTTTCCATCCAGGCAGTTTTACTCTGGGGAACTCAATGCATTAGGCAATGTTATCCACCTATATGTATGAATATATGTATAGAAACCCTGCACTCACTTCATTCCAATGACTTCTGCAGATCTGAACGAATGTGGACTGAAGCCACGTCCCTGTGAACACAGATGTATGAATACACATGGCAGCTACAAGTGCTATTGTCTCAACGGGTACATGCTTATGCCAGATGGCACATGTGCAAGTAAGTAAGTAATAGAGCTGATAGAACAGATGCACCAAAATCATCTGATCACATTTAATCCCAGCAGATTTTCTTCTTGTGATGAACAGATTTAGTTTATTCAGGATAGGGTCTCTGCCCTAGCTCTCTGGTAGTGTCATGGCTGAAAGAGGCTTTCTACTTGGTAATGCCTGGATAAAGTAAACTAGGTCATATTTGTCTTTTGGTTTTCAGAGCAGTTTTTGTCCTGCTAGAAGTAAAAATCTTTGATAGTGTTACTTCAGATTAAGGACAGCTACTACAGTCTCAGTGCATAGTCCTGCCAGTTCATCTGTTGAATAAGGATAACTGAATCTATCCAAGCAAAGCACCAAAATAGGCTACTTTTTACTGTGCTGAATTTCATGCAATTATTCATTGCTTTACCTTTCTGTGCTCCATGACAATTTATTTATCTGTGTTGCTATGCTTCCCATGGTTGCTGCCAGCTTCTTGCAGATGTTTATTCATTGAGCTAAGGCTTATCTAAACTTCTGGAGAAAATAGGTATTTCTACCTATATTCTTTGTCTTTAAGACAGCCTGAAATGGAAAGCATTCTGCTTTCCTAGCCAACTTGATTTTTCAGACCCGAGGAAGCTTCTTGTTTTTCTGCTTTGTTTGTAGAAAATACTTTTTTTCTTCACCTGAGAGGTTTCATACAGATATTTTGGCTATGAATTTCTCAAAACCCCAAGTAACATGGTGGCAACCCTTCATGGAGTCCACTGGACTGGAGCAGATCCACAAGTTGTACAAGGAAGCCAGTTGGTCTGAGCAGCAGAACAATCTCTTTGAGAGGTCTATTCCAAACCAATGGCCCTAGCAATACGGGGTGCAGCACAATCTTTCCCATGGCTATGACAGAAAAACAAACTCTGAAAGGCTTTGATCTCCAAACCTTGGAGACAACCATTCACCAGGCAGGGTGTCCATCTGGTGAGTTTGCTGTCAGTCTTAGGATAATTAGAAAAATACCCAGCCTCAGCAAACACTCACAGGAGTGCAGTCTGTAGCTGGGGAGCAGGTAGGAAAGCCAGAGCACCTACTCTTAGTTATGGCAGGGAGACTGAAATTGCCACAAAAGGTGCCTGGGGCCAGAGCTTTTGGAGCCTTTCCCTTCCATACATCACAGCTTGGGCTTGTGCCACTTCATTACTAAACAAGGTATCACTGGCAGACAACAACTGCAGGGCCCTGAGATCCCTGAGAACTGGATTTTTATTCCTTCCATTTCTCTGATTCTAAAATGTGGTATTAAGAAGTCACAGAACTAGGATTGGTGAAAAAAAAAAGAGGAATAAGGGCAGAAAAGAACAAAGTGAAGGAGAGTATAAGATCTATCTTATGGCCTCCTGAATTGTTAATATGTTAATGTATAAACAGTTTTATTTAGAATGGATGGAATTTTGTTGTTCTCATTAATTTCTGTGTTCATCCAGATCTAACTTAATTTTAAGTATGTGATCCTACCACAGAATTTCACTTTTCTGTTATTTTAAATACTGTTTTCAGGTTCTCAGACATGTGCCATGGTGAATTGCCAATATGGATGTGAAGAAGTTAAAGGGGAGGTGCAGTGTCTCTGCCCATCAGGTGGCCTTCAGCTGGGACCAAATGGAAGGACATGCATTGGTAGGGTTAGAGAACTCACTGTCAGCTTCTTTTCTGTAGGATCCCCAAAGCCATAAGATTGTGGGAAAAGAAGTAGTTAACCCTTCTTGCTGGCCTGAATAATGCTTCTTGTTACTCGCAGTGTGATGTAAAGTTTTCATGCTTTTATTTAATAACTGCTTCTGTACTATTTATCATGTAATTTCTTTGGTAAGTCTCATCCCCAGTAAATAATTGAATGTTTTGACATGATTTAGTCATTAACAGATTCGGTTTCTCCCTGTGCTATGAGGCCATTAAAGACACTGCTGTGCCTGCAGGAAGATGCCCTACTGACATAATGCATTATAGAATTTGGCCTGGGGGGTTCTTTTATTGTGATAACCCACAATACAAACTTCTCAGTTTTTCTCCAGAAGCCTCAACATTACTTTACTTGTGAGTTTCCTGTGGTGAAGAAAACATTGCTTGTAATACTTGGCACTGTGTTCTGTGATACTCTTTTACATTGTCATCTGACAAAGCAGTGCTACAGCATTGCAATCTAATGCTGAATCATGCCCATTTTAATAATGAAGCTAAATGAGCTCCTTTCAAAACCCAATAGATGTGAAATAAACCTGCCTGAACAGGGACTGGTCAACAGCTACAGCAGAAGGGGCAGTGAGTTGCATGTCAGAGAGTAGCAGGTGCAGGGTAACCACATCTAGGTGTCCCTACTTGAGCAGGGACTGGACCAGATGGGCTGGTATGTCATCAGTTCTCCAGTTCTAAAATGAGATAGCATGTTCCTGCTGTATAGCATAATAGATGCTTAATATATTGTAAGATACTCTAGTATTCAGGCATTAGTCACAGAAACAGTATAAACAGATAAGCATTTGATGATCCCTGGCTATTAGTCTTAACTTAATCCTCCTAAGAAGCTGCATTATTCCTGGACCTTCAGAGCAGCACATTGATGTGCTTCACTTTTCCTCTTCTACGTTTATGTTGGTGAAAGAAAAATATAACAGTTATAGATTAAAAAATTTAAGTAAACCCAAGTCTGTTGTTTCTAAGAGTACACTGAGTCTTCTGAGTTCACTGCAGACACCAGATTCACACTTAGGATCAGGTGCAGGAGTCTTGTCCTTTAGCTTGTGACAGACCCTGGTACTGGCAGAGGCATGGGGAAATGAGAACCTGGAGAGGTCTGGCAATGCCCTGGAAGCTAGGGAACTTAGGCCCTCCCCAGAAATGTGTAGCATAGGCAGAAAGAGGGATTTTGACTACAGGTTTGTTTAAATATTTTTCTGGTTTTGCCCACTTCCCTTTAATCACCTAAGCACTGAAAAGAATGATAGAAATGATAAAAAGACACTGTGGTGTCCAGCAGTACATCACAGCAGTTCTAAGCTATACAGGACAGCAGCATAGCTTGATGAGCTACATGCAAAGTCACTGCTATGTGCTAAACTGTGATAGGGAAGGGCAAATGTCAAATACCATATTCAGCACTGTTTTAAATTTAGCATTGCAAGAAAATAATTTCAGTTAGTAACTTTTAATGACAATGGTTGTTGAATATCATGTTCTTAGGGTCCCCTTGTACCAATCTTCCTTCTCTCTCCAAAACATCTGTCCCTGTCATCTGCCTTCCTGGACAGACTGCTCACAGGCTGGAAACCTCTCCCTGCTATGTCTTGCCTTTGCCCAGCAAGGGGAGGTGCAGAGGTTCAATAGCTGCTGCTGTTCTCAGTTTCCTGTTTCTGGGACTTTCTCTTAAACTGTTCTCTGACATTTCCTTTCTTGGGGAAATAATGGAATTTGTGGAGATCTGCCTGACACTGCTCCATGACCTTAGGGCAAATCATTGTCCCTAGAGAAGAGAATCCCCACTGCCAGTTACCCCAGCCTTTACCATGAGAGGTCTCAAAATCTTCCACAGAGTTCCACATTTTTCTGCATCATTCATATGAAGACATGCAAAAGCCACCCCCAAGTGTGAAATTATAGGGCTTATTTATTAAACAACTGGTGATACCCAAGACCAAACCATTCCCATGCAAATCCCAGCTAGTTCTTGCTTTTCCACTTTACCATCTCATGGATCTGACCAGCCTCCCTTCTCCTGCTCTAGACATTGATGAATGCTCCTCTGGCAAAGTTGTCTGCTCTTACAACCGCAGGTGTGTCAACACATTTGGAAGCTACTACTGCAAGTGCCAGCTTGGTTATGAACTGAAATACATCAGTGGCCGTTACGACTGTGTAGGTAAGATTAAACCCATGATTTTTCCTTCTTCATTCTATTTCCTTTGTGTGCATCTTTCCTGTCATTGCCTGAAGCATGTTGGCCTAGCCTGGGGATACTGCTCAGATATGGATAAAAGATGTCACATTAAGAATATTCTTGATGGCAGTTTGATTGTTTTCTCTGGGTTTTCACTGTAGCCTTATGAAAAGGCACTGGCACTCGCAGTTTAAATTGCCTCATTGCACCAAATCAAGACGTGCAAGAATTTGTAAGAAGTTAGCAGCAGTTGACTACAAAGAAATGCTACTTCTGGTACAGGTTTAGTTAAAGAGATATTTTTTGTCCTCTTGGCTTTCAAACGATGAAGAAGCAGTCCCACAATCTTTTTTTTTTTTTTTCTGTGTCATTATTGAGGAATGTGACTCAAGTGCCTCAATGCCTGTAAAAACAGTTGTTTAGATGGACAGTACAGAACCTGGATAAGATAAATGATGAAAGTAGTAGGTTTCAACTACTTTTCATGACTCTATTATATGCCAAAGTTTCTCCCAAACAAAAACATTACTTCTCATGTCTCTATTACATGCCAAAGTTTCTCCCAAACAAAAACAAGTATAGGCAAAAAATTATCTTGACACGCTCAGATGTTAAAACAAATGTCAAAACACCTTTACTCCTGTTTCAATCCATTAGTTGAATGATGGAAGAACCACAAGGGGTAAGTTTTCAGAGCAGGGGCCACACAAGTATATTCAAGCTGTTGCCTACACAAGGGCCTGGAAGGGCTGGAACTACTACAAGTGCATACAAAAGAGAATTCATGTGTTTTGTTTATATTTGCTTTATATCAGGAGCGAGGGTTGGGAGGGGGATCATAAGGCAGGTTTTGAGACTTAAGTTTGCATTTCCTGTAGTCTGAAAACCCTGAGACTCTTAAGGTGGAAAAAATATTTTCTCATACGATATGTGTGCATTGGGGAAAAACTGGAGATGTCTCAGGAGTCAGGATTTTATCTGCAAACCTGAATCTCACTCTCAGACATACCAGATTTTTGAGTTAGTCTCCCTGCTAGTTGTCGGTTTGCCAACTCACATTATGAGAGGACCTGTTAGCTGCTTAAAACAAAGCAAACATTTGTGCACCAATTTGGCTCCCTCACATGGGAGAAATCAAAGACATCTTTGTGATAAGGGAAAAGGAGAACAAATCAATTACTCTTGATGCCTGTACATTTTGCTGTGACCTCAACGCAGTATTTTCTACTGAGTTTTTCTGATTATACTTTTTTCATACAGGATCATATGTATGCTGAAATGTTAGAGGTGGATTCAAGATCTCAGCATCTTGGTATGCTCAGAGTTCCTTTCCATTGATTCCTTCTACAGTGAATGGAAGAATGAGAAATTGTTGGTTGGTTCCTTTCCATTGCATTCCTTCTACACTGAATGGAAGAATGAGAAATTGTTGGTTAACTGTTTTTTAATTGATGCCACGTGTTCTCTTGATGCCTTTTGCATTTTGTTATCACATATTCTCTTGATGCCTTTTGCATTTTGTTAATAGAAGAGTGTGTACAACCTCTAGTTTGAATCCTGTTCTCAGTCAGAAAATCACTACATTCACTTTGTCTTTACTGGGCTGCTCTACATCTTCCATGGATGCATATGCCAGTAGCTGCCACTAAGCATTCTCTCCTGGTGTGAATTCTTCTGCCTCTGATGGCAGAATTCAAGAGTTCTGTCTTGATCTAATGTTCATGCTTACAATACCTGAAAACTGATGGTTGGCACAAACAGGCTGTCATGAACCTTAGGTTTCAACCAAGTTTTCACTGAAGCATTTATATCTTTCCCCAGATATAAATGAATGTGTGACAAATACACACAGGTGTAATCTCCATGCAGAGTGCCTCAACACAGAAGGATCCTTCAAGTGCAAATGTAAACAGGGCTACCGAGGAAGTGGATTTGACTGTGCTGGTGAGTACTATTGGATTTCAGGAATAGTGCTGTATTGTTTTTCTCCAATATTTTATCACTGTAAGTCATTTTCTTGGAAATGTCATGCTGAACAGTGCTGCAACACCAACCAAGCAAGGCTTCTCCACAGATTAAAATATGAAGTGTATGAGTCATAGCATAGTTAATACAAGTATTACATGTTCAAATTAATTTTGCCTGAGTCTCCAAGTCTCACAGTATCTCTAGGAATCACAAGTAGAACAGAGAAGAGAATTTGTCCTGAAGAAACAAATCTACTGTGAATTTTCCATGAAATCCCAAGGCTAGACCTTTGGAGGACTTTTCAGTCCCTTCCAGAGGAGTTTCAGGCTAACTTAGCAAAAAACTAGAAAAGGGAGGAAAGCTGAGACTTCTGTGTTAAACTATTTTCATTTAAAATTTTGCCTTTGTTTATTGAATATTGAAGACTTCCTACAAAGATATCATTGCCCAGTTCTAGCTGAATATGACCCTCTAAAAAGAAGGAAAGAAAGGCTGTTCTTGTCTTTATATTTAAAATGAACCATTTTATTTATAACTTTATTAACCCTGGCAGAGGTTTCTCCTGCAATACCATTAGAGATGTTTTTCTTGAGAGGACATCTGAGTCCTGCTCAAACATTTTAAAAGTTTCTGTCTATAGCAGATGAACTCTACACAATAAGTAAACCTTTCCTCCTGGGTCTTTTTCAAGCAATTCTTGATCAGATATGTATTATGGCTGTACTTCATGGTCACAGCTGTTCCTACTCCCATTATGAGAGTAATTGAAACTTCCAATACATATTGATAAGTTCATATTTTCACAGAATCACAGAATATTCTGAGTTGGAAGGGACCCACTAGGATCATCAAAGTCCAGCTCCTGGCCCTGCACAGGACAGGCCCAAGAATCATATACTTTTGTTAAGTTTCTACTCCTTACTCTCTGCTTACTCTCCATGTCATATTTCCAATTACTGATGGGGACAGAACATGTGTCTTGCTATTGGGGAAAATGGTTTTTCAAACAGTGACACAAACACCAACAGAATGTATCAGCCCACACTGAAACGCTTAGTGTTCTCCATGTCATATGGCAATTGTGGAAAATCTTTGGCTTTACTGAAGCCAGAAGAGGTTTTGCTACAGGGTTTAATAAAATGAGGACACCATCCTGGGAATTTAGGGGCTGAAGGCTGTGGCTTCACACTTCTTTTGGTGACAGCAGCTTCAGCTCCTGCAGCCCATCCCAGCTCCCAACAGATGGGCCTGGGATTGTGCTGCAGCTGAACAAAAGGCTTCTTAAATATGTCCTCAGGACTCCACGTAATTACTCCCACGGGGTTGGAATCCTGTTTTCACAGAGAAGCTTTAATTCTTTATAGCAATTGTCTCCAGTATATAACAAACTGGCTACCATGGCAGCAGTATTTGCTTTTTGTAACAAAAACATTTTAATATATAGCCTAATTTTTGAAGTATGAAAGGAGAGTAACTAAGCACATTGTTTATAATGAAATGCTTATGGCTACATCTCCTCATGCCGCCAAATAACCTAGTAAGTGAGGCAATATAAAATTCACCTTTGCACAGAAGGTGGGAAAATTCTTTCATACAATTTGTATGTCAATATGCTAATTTAAGAGAAAGCTGCTGAAACATCAGGCTGCAAACACTACTGCTGGTATGGATTTTACCTGTGGTTGTTCAGGCACCCTTTTGCCATTTACCATTCCTATATGCATGAAATGTTGGAGGTTGTTTCTAACCTGTCTCTAGCACACATTTCATTTGATAATCCACAGAGATGTAACCTTTTGAATGATCCCTAAAAGGGTCCTAGCCGTTTCCACATCTGGCCTCTATCTTGCTGCAATCTGTTGCCGTTCTCAGGTTCATGTGTTTCCTGATTTCCTATTGTGCATTGAAAAACCACATTTCCCCTGCCACATGCTTCTATGTGTATTTCATCTTTTCCTTAAGAATACAGTCTCACAAGGTTCCATAAGCAATTAAGATTCGTGGGGAAAAACTGAACCTATTTTTGATTCACTCTTTCGGTACTACAAAATAACAGGAAAAAAGGATTACTAACTTAAAGCTTATGACCTTCAGGCATCACTCTAAGGAGCTCAGCAATCACACTTGTTATTGCCCTGCTAGAGGCAGAGGTTGCTATTCTTCATTATGCTTTGCTGGGTATCTAAATGTCAATACAAATTCATGCCAGCTCTCTCTGTGCCTCTTGTGTTACTCATGTTCCATTTTTGCTCATGGGTAACCCTTAAACCCCATATATGATTTTGCTTTCTTATTAACTTGCAAGTCCTGAGAAACACTGGGTTTGACATAATGAAGTTTTGATGCTTGAAAAGCAATTGTGGTCATATCACTGGTGAGATTCTTACAATTCAGTTCAGTATGGAGTAAAATACTGCTGTGATCCTTCAATGAATAACAGGCTTTTGTCATCACACGTTTCCTACTGGAAGCATTGCTGGCTGGTGTAGTCATGTATTAAGCACAGTCCAGTGTGATGAACCTGCCCTGGTTTCTCAAAGTATCCTTCCCTAAATAGACAGTAAAAATTTTAGAAACAAAACAGGAGAAGTATATATATTAGCAGATGACATTCCATAGTGCTTAAGAGAGAATAATAGAATCTGTGTTTTAATCTATGTGTGAAAGCTTTCAGACTCTCTTAAGACTACATAAAAGAGGTTGAGAACTTTTAGAATGATTTCTGGAACTATTTTATGCTGATCTAATCTTTACTCACATCCACTCAACTCCACCTAAACGTGGTAAATGGTTGTCTATATCCCTCACCACCTCTCCAAACACTTGCATAGAAAAGCTACAAAGGGAGTTACAAAAGGATTTGTAAGCCAATCTCCTAAGCTTGTCTCACCGGATTTTTAAATATATCACTAGGTGTGAAGGTAAGCAGCTGCTGGAGTGCAGAGCAAGCTGTCTCCTACTGCAGCCCCCTGTACATTCAGAGCCCCAGCCAGCACTGGCTGTGGTCACAGGGTGTGTGGAAGGAAAACAGATCACTGTCTGTCCTTCTCCTGTATCATCCCCTGAGTATTTCCCTTTACACAGTGCAGCACAGAGACACAGGCTTAGCATCTGCTCTCTCCGTATTTTTTTTCAACTCAACTTTCACAACTTGGTCATTAGACATCCTACATCAATCCATTTCTCTGGTTTTATAATCTTGTATAGCAACTGATGACAGAAAAGATTTACTTGTAGCCCTCAACTACCATTTGCCTTTGTTTTTCTACCTCTTGCTTTAATTCTCTCCAATTCAAAGGAAGAAAATACCTTTGAAAACAGATATTTTCATACTAGGGCAATAGAGACAAACTGTATGAGCAGGAGGCATTAATCTGCATGCTTCCTGATGGAAGGTACATAAGGAAGAGCTGGGATGAAATGCACTATTTGTGCATTACTTTGCACTTCCCAAAATTCTCTATGCAGTCACGTAGACAGATAAATGCACAAATATTTGTGACCAACATCTCTGCATTTATGTACATGTCCTGGGGCTGAAAATCACTGCCTCAGCTGTAGCATCCCAGATTGCCAGAGAAGGTGAGCTGCTCCTTCAGGCAAGTTCACAGGCAGTGGATTGAAAAGAACAGACTGAGTTTAAGGTAGTGTCTCCTTACGCTGGGTTATTCCTACTGCAATTTATGGGTAGACACAAAAAGCCTTAAATCCACACCTCCAGCTACTCTAAAGCTGAATGCAGATTGAAGGAGACTAGTGCTATATCCTAAAATATGCTTGTTGTCTCATCTCTCTTTGTCCCCACGAGCATGCAGATTTTCATATAGCAGTGATAAATTCTGTCTGCAAGTGCATGGGGATTTATACATTTTCATCCCCTATTTTTGCCACTCCCATCATTTGATTTTCTGCACTGCTTAGTTTTGCACATACAAGGAGATTGGTTTTCTGATACCACAGAGAGTCTTACGTTGAGCTGTAAGAGTTTTTCGTTTCACAAGGAAGACTTCAAAGCAGAAACTAAAAGCAGATGTTCAGGTTTGCTGAGCAGTCAGTCCTGCCTTGAAAATTCCCATGGCCTCCTTATTAACAGCATGAAGTTTCTTGTTACTGATTGTCAAGAGGAAATTTGTTTGGAATTAAGCTTTCCTGTTAATTTTTATTGCTGCATTCTGAGCTGAGACCCAGAGAACCATACATCCTTCATGACATCATCCTCCAGAGGACAATTGTGGAGTATTAGTACAGAATTTACTTGCAAGTATTTGACAAGGAAGGCTTAAAGTTTTATCCAAATAATAATAAAACCCTCAGTTCTGACTTTTGTTTTATTGGCATCTGTTTACTCCAACTGCAATCTGAAAAACCCTGAATGCTCCAGTGAGCACACTGAGAAAGTCTGATCCTGTTCCTGAGATACTAAACAGCATGTAGTTGCATTTGCCATAAATAAAATGTGACAAATTCACAGTGATAGCACTGGATTGTATTTTCCAGGAGTGAACATAAATTCAGGGAACTTTCCCGTCTTCCTTGTAGACTACAGTTCTGTTTTATTAACTGGCATTTTTTATTCTGCTATGTTTCTATGAAAAGAAATAGAAAAAAGTACTACCCAAGGTTACAAGTCCAGTCTATCTGTCCCAAAATACTACTATTTTTCATTATTACAAAGTCAGGAGCAAAATAGGAACATATTCTTGCCCTGATAATACAATCACTAGACAGCAAAACCAAAGGGAAATACAAATAGCTGACTTCTTCCACCATTTTCAATCCAAAAGGACTTAGGTACTGCAGCATCAACACTGATCCAGAATCAAAGATGGGAAGCAGTATATAAGGCTGTTCTGACCCACTAATGGAAATAGTCTCTCTATGGAAGAGCTTTTGTACAGCACACTGCAGCTGCTCCTAGGTACTTCACATAAAGGACTCAAACTGCAGAAGGCTGTTGGTACCTTATGACATGGTTGTGCTATCCTACTCACCAGCTCTTTTCCTTTACCCACACAGATTCCAGCTGTGCCCAGCACTAGAGGACTGAGTATATAGCTGCATACTGACTGGTCATGTCATAGCAGCTATGAAATCCTGAGTTGTTTCAAAAGCTTCATTGTCTCAAGCCTCAGAATCCATTGCCGTGGAATTTAAACCCCAGGGACATGCTCTTCCTCAGTAGCTCTGGCATTATGACAGATAGGGATGTTGTCAGCTCTAGTGGAATCAGTGGGATGGGATCATCTCATAAACTAGAACTCCCCAGATGTACATGTTCTCTAAAACTCGCCTATTTGTCACACAAACCCCTCCAAACCTTATTTTGGCACACTACTGTTCTTGACAGATGCTGAGGAGCAACTGATGTTGCTGATAAAAAGCAACACCTGCAGTATTGCCATCATTTCTCCTTTGAATTTGCTTTGTACTGTACACATACCTCTAACAAAGTGATCTGAAGTAGTCCTGGCTTTAACCCTCAGTTATGATTTGGCCATCAGCACAAAGATCCATCAGTCTTTGTCAGATGAGAGAAGAATACATCTGGAAGGGACTAAAAAAGATCATTTACTCTGTTCTTTTGCTCTGAGGCAGATCATATCCAGCATATTAATGACAGATGGTAGCCTAGCAATTAAAAAAACTTCTAGTGATACTGTTCAGATAACCCAAGTGGCTTCCTCCTGTGTTTTACTATCCTGTAGCAAGGGTAGTAAGCAAGTTTTTCATAATATGCAACTCAATTATTTCATGTAAACTGGTAATTTTGCTGTCTTAAGCTGCCCAGTGTACTGTCTCAGTGGAGCCCTTCGTGCTGCTACTGGGTCCCACCACTGGTGGAAAATCAATGCTGCCTCCCTACATCCCTAGAAATTCAGCTTCAGATGGGTTCCCATGAAAAATGTCACTCACTCAAGCATCCACACATAGTTTGGTGATTGTAGAGAGAGAACATTTAAATTCTAAAATTAAAAGGCTTGTGCCTTGAAATTCAATACGTTAACAAGGAAAGCATGATTAGAAAATCAGAGCTGCCATGTAAATGTGAAAATGGCCTCTTACTAATTAATGTCTTGAAGTTTGTTCCTGGGTATAGACTATATTGATTTCATTATACTTCATAATAGGGAGGACTTCAAATTCAGTTTTTTCATTTGTTTTACGGATTTGAAGAATCTCGATTGACTTTTATCCTACTAATAAGTTTTTCACTTCTGGCAGCCCTTGTGTTTCTGAGCAGAATCTAAAGTTGCAAGATACTACAAGACTGGTTATCCTTTTAGTATTTTGTGGCCAAGAGGAATCATACAATAGTAAAAGTCTGGGGAAATTTGACATTTATATTCTAGTCCACCATGGAATTGCAAGACAATAATAACTGTAACTCTTGGATGCCTCTTTGAATTTTGGAGTTTACTCCTTACAACATTGTCATTGCTGAATGATTCCTTAGTTTAATATTTACTATTTTCCTCTTGGTTTTAGTTATCCCTGAAAAGTCAGTGAAGGAAATTGCAAGGATCCCTGGAACAGCTAAGGACACAATTAAGAAACTTCTTGCACATAAAAACAGTGTGAAAAAGCATGAAACAATAAAGAATGTGATCCCAGAAGCAGCTGTGACACCACCTTCTAAGACCCACTTGCAGTTATTGGACTATGAAGGTGCTATTGATCTTGGTGGGAGCTACAGTCAGGAAGACAAAGAAATTGATGCTACTGCAGAAGAGAAGGCAGTAGAGTCAGATGAAGAGGAGAAGGAAGATTTTGAGAATCAAATTGACAATGAGCGAAGCCTTAGAGGAGATGTCTTTCGTAAGTTTTTTTGTTTTTCTAGCAATACTTCAACGTAAACATATATATAAACACTAGCAAAATCATTACAAAACATTATAGACACGTGTTCACATACTTAATGAAACTACATTTTGGGTACATGGCTTTCTGGTTTTGATACCACCTATGGTCCTAGGGCGTAGGACATTGTGCCATTTGCATTTTCCTTTTGGGATAGGTTGCTTATGTTAACTGTCTTTCCCTTTAAATTTCCATATGCTATACTCAATCCTTGTTATTATAAAATTCAGTCATGATTAAGGCACTTAATTGCTCGAACACTTTCATTTTAATGATGCTGAATGGTCCTTTGGAGTGCATCATTAGCTCAAATCTACAGCTCATAAATTTGCACATCATTTCATTCCCTCCTTTGGTGATGTCTGTTCAGCAGTTATTCCTTTACTACCACATTAAGTTCCTCCATATAAGCCCCTCAAGTATTCACAAAGCATCTGTTTTTTCTTGCATTATTAATATTGATATTGTTTTTCTTCCAGGAAGAGTAGTTAATTATGAAAAATTGATAGGTCAGAGTTTTCAGAGATACAATTTTTTATTCCTAAATTGATGTATTATTTTTGTCATAGTAGTTTTACTACAAAATAAATATATAGGGAGCTGCAGAAAAATACTGCAAATATGTTAAAAAAAAGTTATTGTATGGAGATGGAAATTATTCAAATAGACCAACTGTCAAAATAGAGGACCTTCATGGAAACTACTGCTCACAGTTTTTAAAAAAAACACAATAGGTAAAGGCAACAAAGCAAAGCCCCCAACATTTAAGAAATGTCAAAATTAAGGTCTTCTGTGAAAACTGAAATTTTTTTTCTTCTATTTTTATATCTTATGATACAGTCCGTAATTACTTCAAATGTCTATTTCCCTGGGATCCTTACCTTGTTAAATGAGAAGGAAGGACTTGTCCTGTTGTGAAAGGTGCAGTTTAATAAATGGGAATGTTTATTTATTAGTAGAATATTTGTTTATTAATATAATGCATATTTATTAAAAGTTATATTTATTATTGGGGTATTTATTAGTAATTGTTAATTTATATTAAATAGTTTAATAAATCTGTCCTATTGATCGCATAAATTGCACAGGTATAGAAAATGAGAGTAAACCAAAGCCCTGGAAAGCTCCTTATTGTGTGAGAAATGTCCTTTCTGTATATAGAAGGACACACAGAGCTAGACCAAAGTAATTTCTTAAATAAGCAGTGGCTGTACAGATGCTACTCAAGCCAGAGGTGAACTTGTAGTGCACAGCCTTAATTCTGACAGTTTCTAACATTTCAGTGCTTTTTGTGTACTGTTTGTAATGTAATCCAGAATGGTATTGCCAACTGCAACTAAGTTCTATATTCTGTACTTTACCAGTTTTGGTTTCACCATTTTCTTTATGGTTCATGTCTCTTAATTCTGTACAAGATCACTCTCTCATTTAATCATGATGCTTGCTCTTCATCTTACTCTTTTCTGATAATTGCAGCACTCTGTGAGCTCATAATGCTCAGACCACAGCTCAGTCCACAGCTATAGGGGTCAGACATCAGGCAAATGTAATTCTTTCAGAGCAGGATGTGGTAGCAGAGATATGGTGTATTGCTTTGAGTCAGGCATAGTGATGGACTGTATATATAGGAAGCTGGTCTTCAATTTATTACTTCTTACATTCTGCTTGATTTTTTTACAGTGCCCACTCTGGTTTTTGTGGTGGGGGGTGGGTTTAATGGGCTTTGAACAGCAGAGAACAGTGTTAGAAGCACTGGTTTCGTGGGAGTTCCCACATGCTGCAGTTTCAGGCACTTTAGAATTTTACATCTTAGAATTACCAACAATGAGTGACTTTTCCCAAATTTTCTGTATTATTTTTACATTTAGACTAACTAGACTACCGAGGCAAAACAAGCCACTGGCATTTTCCAAGGGAGAGAAGAATATAACAGTAATAACAAGAAATAAAAGTACACCACATTGCCCACAACTAGCACACTTAGGTACTTGGGTGCTTTTATTCTGCAGTGTGTATGTTATTCCAGTATAGCTGCCTCAGCAAGAGTTCAATGCAATGCAACGGAAAATTTATAAAAAATACAGTTACACCAACAGGTAAAGAAAGAAAAGGAATCAAAGCTTTAAGGATAGCACATGCATTACTGCAGACAAATAGAAAATTACTTCTAAGCTATAAAAGAAGGCATATTTTTTCAGAAAAAGAATGTACTTTCCAAATGCACTATAAGTAACTTTATATACAGCAATTAGCAAAGCAGAGAGGTTAAAGCAAGTGCACAGAAAGGAAAATCTATCAGTGTTTTCAGTAAGCTCCTTTACCATGAGTCACTTACCAGCTGCTTAACAGTGCTTTTGCACTTCTTTTGAGGGGTGCCCATAAAACAGTGCTCCAGTCTGGCATTTTCAAAGTGGAAGTCTAGTTTCATGTAAATATTTGTTTCTAAATCCCCTTCATGGCATTCTATGTAGTCACATTTATACTAGAACAATGTCTCAATGCTTCTTTTCAGCCCTGCTTTCTCATTTTCTTAGGTTATTTGCTAAGAAGTGTTTCCATGATTGCAGGCAACCTCAGTAGTTCCAGAATTGTTTTATGTGAGTCCTGTAGTGTTTTAGGGAAGTACTTTCAGCCACACAGACCTGACTGGGGCTGTTCTATATTGAAGAAGGTCTTTTTCCTTGCTGCATGTCCTGATGTATAATCCAATTGACAAACTGCACCTAACATGGGTCAAAGACATTCCCCCTCCTAAGAACAGGAGCAATACTCAGACATATGTTGCTGAGAGCCATTTCCTGCAGATGCAAGAATGTGTGTCAGCAACAAGGTGGCTGTTCTCAGGACCAGGACAGCATCAGCATCCTGACTCCTGCCTACTACTTAGGAGTGTGTAAACTTCAGATCCTGGCTATGTGTGATGATGGTCTGATGTAAAATGTAGGCACATTCCAAGCAGCAAGGTTTCATGGAAACCTTTCTGTAAGCTGAAGCTTACAGTTTCTCATAATACACAGCTAATACCTTTCAGTAAGTGGAAAACCTGACTGTAATGCCTGAAACTGGAAACAAAAGTAGATTTGGATACAAAATCGGACTCATGTGCATGACAGTTCTTGATAACACCTAGCTACACCTGCATGTATATCCCTCAAGTGAATTAAGTGTAATTCAATAACTCAACAAATAAATCATTCTGGCAGCTGTTGCCTTCTGCTAAATCACTCCACTCTTCCCAGAACTGATCATAGTTTAATAGCTCTCTCCATTTTGGCAAAGGTTTTCACATTCTGAACCTCTTTCACTAAGTACGAGGCCAAGTCTATGGCATGACAGTAAACTTAACACCTAATCTCTTTGTGCCTATTCCTAAATGTGTAGATGTAGATATATATTAATTTGGAGAAAGACATATTAATCCCTGCCTTAAGTAAGAATATTATCCAGGTGATTTAAGCAATGGTCTGGGTGAGGGAAAGGCTGCAGGGACAAGAAGAGAGGACATGCTTGTGGCAATTCCTCAGAAAGCTCCTAAGATTGCATGAGTCTCCTTCCTTGACTCAATTCAGCACCTCTGGAAGTGCCTCCAGGGCATCTTTGTTAGTGTGTGTTTGCACTGGTGTACACAGAGTAATTTTTGACAGTTTTGAAGGAGAAGAAAGGTTAAGTAGATGGCATAGCCTTTATGGTGCTAGGACGCTCTGGATTGCTGTGTGTTTCCTAAGTATATTCTTAAAATTGAGTATGTGTTTACAACTGTATGTTGGAGTATTTAGATGGAAAGCCTTAGCTCAGTTGAACTCATGGGAAAAAACTTCCTTCTGAGCAAGTGTGCATGCATGTGAAAGTAATGACTTTTAAAATATTTGGCATTTGTGTATATGATACAATGCTGAGTAGGGAAAAGCAATTTCCATAGCTCCTATCATCTGGCACTGTTGAGGAAGTCTGAGCTTTTCTTAGCACAGCTGTCTGCAGGGTGTGGCTGAAAAGTGAACTTCAGGTTTTCCACTAACACCTTCTGTAAACAGTAATCCAAAGGATCCTCCCTCATTCACACAATCACAGAATCAGGGTGGAAGGGACCACAGCCTTCCTTCCCGACAGACAGCAGAGCTGATCAGGTATGCAGGAGAGCATGGACCCCAGCAGAGAGTACAGCCTCAGAAAAATAATTTCCCGAGAATCTGTTACAGCAGCACTAGCTATCACTGACCTGAATACAGAGCTGTGAGCCTTTAATGCCCCAATGTTTCTGGCTTTTTTAAGTTTCTGACAATATCCATTTTTTGAGGCTGCTGTTGACAAAGTGCTGCCAAGCCACTGAGCCGCTGTCTTCACGGTCTGTTAGAGTTCAGGTACTTTGATCATTATTGAAGCTTTGTAGCAAGAAAGCAGATCACCCCACCAAAGAAAGATCATGTTCAGCATTTTATGGCCTTGTGAATCCTGCAGCTCCGTTGCCCACAGCTTAGAAGGCACTGTGCCATGGAAAACAGCAACTTAAACAAAGTTCTAAAATTCAGAGTTAGTATCTAACTGGGGTTAGGAATGTGAATTTGGTGGTGTAGTGGAAAATACATATGCTGACTTATTTGAATAAGTAATGGCAGCTGGTATAAAGGAATAAAGTTAATTTTCTGCTCCTGTGATGACTCAGCACTTGACAAGTTGTTTTCCCTAGTTCCCAATGTGAAAGAAGCAGCTGCTTTTGGCCCTCTCCTGGCACAGAGGAAAGTTCCAGTGTCAAGACCAGAGCAAGAAGGTAGATTATTTTTATTCTACAGTATTTATTTTCCTGTGTATTGTGTCTTTTCATGACCACTTATATTAGCCAAGTCAGAACCAGTTTAAAAGCCTTTAACATAAACCAATGATTTGGTGAACATATCAGAGACAGTATCTGGCCAAACCATTCTGCCAGTTCCAGTGTGAGAAGTTGGTTTTGTGTCCTTTTCCAAACATACTTTAACTGTTTATAAGCCATGTATAGAAAGTTCCCCCACATTGGAACTTGACTAGCAGTTGAATTTCTCTTGAATACTTTCATAGTTATGAAAATAATGTCTGTCATCTATGAAATGAAAACATATTGCATAGCACTCAACAATATGCCAATGCCCTTCAGCCATATCCTCTTGGTTTTACTCCTGGTCCTCTGTCAGAAGTCAATAGGAGTTCCCCCTGAACAAGACTGAAAAAATATTTACCCTGAATCTCAAATAGCCTGGATATGAATTTATGATAATTCCCTATTCATCAGTAAGTCCTGTGGATATCACAGGAAGATGATACTACCTGTTCTTTCTCACATTAAAAAATGGTTGCAAAATCAGTCAGGAGAACATTACAAGGTCCAAGACTTGTCAATTCATAAATTTTTATCCAGCTTTAGCTTCTGCCATGCCTTAGGAAATGGCTTCACACACTTTAAAACAGAAAACTTCACTGCCTCTTGGGAATTATACCAGACTGCAGTGTTGCTTTGGTCAATGCAGAGAATAAAGGCAAATCAGAGGGCACTCTCCCACTCTCTCCTGGAGGGAAACAGTTTCCCCGTGATGGACAGAATCATGAAGCTGACTCTAAAGACCTGCTTATGAGAACCATGGGAAAAAAGCAGAATCCAGAAGGAGAGGCTGACATATCATACTGAGCTGATGCATTTACAGGGCAGTAGTATCCTCCTGGGGAGTTGCCAGCCAAGTGGGCAGGGGCTGAAATGCTGGGATTTGCCGTAGCTGAGATTGTTTTTTGGGCAAGGTGGGTTTCACCCAAAACCAATCCACAAATACTTTCAAATCTTAAACAAACAAAATAGACAGATGTGCAGTACTTTCAGAAACAATGGATTTATATAGCAAAGCTCTCTAAATGCCATGTACTGAGTGTCTCTGTCCCATGATAAAATACATTAAAAGAACAAGAAGGATGCATCTTTCTGAGGACATTCAGATGGCTGATGTATTACTCTGATCTGTGCTGGCATTGCACAGTGTTCCTTTGTGTATGTAATGTTTTTCATCTGCACAGTCATGAAGGCTGTGGTGTGCTCTGTGTGACACCCTTCTCAGTGAGCTCTAGAGATCAAGTGATTTGGGCTATTCTCAGCTCCACGTAGGAGTATCAAGTGCTGACACATGGAATTCTTCTTATGGGAGGCCAGCTTCTCTTAATGGAGAGAACTGGAGCTTGAGCATCACAGCTGATTACAACTACAGGAGTGTAACAAATGAAGAGAAAAGAGCTCTAAAGCTGGAAGATACTTTCTGATGTTAGGGGTCAAAACTAACACTGCCAACTATACTTCAGGATCAGCAAGCACTCAGTATACGGAAGTCACAGCATATAAACAAACTCGTGCAGATGGGAGATTGCCAGTAAAAATTTCTTTCCTCTGAGCTAAGGAAGGAATTAGTACACAAATTCTAATGTTTTGCTGCTTTGCAATATAATCTAGGTCAGCATTATCTGAACTTAGATTACAGATACTTTTAGAATGACTCATACATTAATAACTGTGAATAAACAGCAAATTGTTTTAACAGTGCTTATGATATGGTGCTCCTCTAGCTCTTTGCCAATTTTTTTTTAGTTGATTGCAGCTTCAATCGAGGAGTCTGTGACTGGAAACAAGATGCTGATGATGACTTTGACTGGAATCCTGCTGATCGAGATAGAGGTATTTAAATGTCTGTCCTTTAGCTAGACTTTGATTTGCTGGCTTACCCCCTCCCCAAAAAAAAAAAGGAGGGGATTAGGGGAAAACAGAATCAAGAATTACCTTTTCTATCAGTGGATTATCTTTATGAAAGAAGAAAGAAGGTAGAGGATGCTGGGACTGGATATTGTTTCTTTGAAATATCCAATGGCAACCGGTAACCAGCAAATTAATTCAACACAAGTTAATCAAAATATAAGGAAAACTAATAGAAAATAACTGTTCAGAATTGCAAGCTACAAGGCAATGCAAACCTTATCAGCTATGTTTGGTGTCTCTCCAAGATTAGTAGGACATTTAATTATACATTTGTCATTTAGATGGATGTTGCAATGTAGTCACTCACAGGTCATAGACAGCACTGTGATAACTGCTCAGAAATCTCAAACTCTGTGAGATAAACTAGTGACAGCATTCCTCAGAGTAAGCCAAGGGCAAGGGGCTATTCAAGAACAACCAATACCTGACCAGGTACCGATGGGAGGCCTGCTAAAACCTCAGAAAGAGCTCCATGAATGCAATGTGTGGCTGCTGTGTGGATGTACATAAAATTATTTCGCTGGAGGAACTTGTTTGGAAGAATCTCTCTTCCCCTGTGACACAGGAAATGTTGCAGAAGTTGCTGCAGTAGGGACCAGTGGATCCTACAGATGCTGCAGGCCACTTGCTCCAGTTCCTGCATGCACATTCTCTCCCTCTACCCTCACAGTCTTTCCATTCCAATCTTTCTTCACTAATCCTTCCTCTCCTGCTCCACATAATTCTCCAAGTCCCTTCTCTGTGCTGTCACTTCCAGAAAGACCTTACCCTGGCCTTGCTCTGTCCCTCTGAACTTACACCTGCTGATTATGACTTTAGTTTTGGGCTCAGATATTTTCTCCCTTATCACTTTGTATTTGTCTGTCACTTCATTAGTCCTCCAGGATTTGGGGAATAAGCTATCAGTTCCTTTATGAGTTTGTCATCACTGCAGAGGACAATAGAAAGAGTATTCAGCTAGCTCAAGTACTGGAATGATCTGACCACAGAGACACAGTAGCATGTTTCAGGCTGTTGCATCTGAAAAACAGATGGGTTTGCCTTCGAAATATAGGGCAAGGAAGAATGACTGTAATTGGCAGTGAAATATGAACTCATCTCCTCTGTTAACTGATCAGACTTCCAACAGCACGAGCTTATTCCTTGCGAAGTACACTCCCTGCTGCTTTTCTCCAGTGGGATTCAAGTAAACCTGCTTCTCCTTGTTTTCTTAGCAAACATGTATTCAATTTGCTAACAAAGTCCATTAAAGATGCATTTTCCTTTTCTTGGTTTTGTCAAAGGTGATGGGTACTACATGGCAGTTCCAGCTTTTGTGGGGCACAAGAATGATATGGGGCGTCTAAAAGTTCTCCTCACCGACCTCAAACCAAAGAGCAGCTACTGCTTGATTTTCAGCTATCGGCTTGCTGGGGAGAAAGTGGGGAAACTGCGAGTGTTCCTGGCAAACAAAACAACAGCTCCTGTCTGGGAGCAGAGCAAAGCAAAAGATGAACGGTGGAGAACTGGAAAAATAGAGATATTTCAGGGGGCTGAAACAACTAACAGTGTAAGTATAACACAATTTATAAGCCAACTACCATAACCAACACAACAGCTTCATTTCCAAATCCTCAGGTGTTCCACCAACTGTTTTATAGGTATCAGCAACTGAAAGGCATATCTGAAATGGGAAACAGGAGCCCACATTTTAGGAGGCAGAAAAGTTAGCATCTGGTTGTAATTTCAGAACTGAATTACCCCAGTTGGTTAGAACACTGATGACACTCTGTCATTCTGTAAAAAATACTGCATCACATCATAAATTAACACAAGTAATCAAAATATTTCCTTAATATCTCATGCAACAGAAGCATCCATACATGCCTGGAAAAAGGAACACTTTCTGTTTCATAGAAGAGGATGGTCTCAAACCACAATAAACCAGACCACTAGAGCAAAAGGAGGCACCATGTATAATCAAGAGTGGGCAATCACCTTAGGACCAGGACATACCAACCAACAGAGACCACTGTGCACTGGTGTATGCCTGAAAACTGCCTCAATCAGGAGTTCAGCAAGTTTCTCTGAAGTTCTGGGGCCTGCTTTCCATTTATGTGACTGAATGTTTTCAGTGCTGTGTAAAGGCTTCTACTGTATAATTGAATACTGTGAATATAAAGGAAATGCAAGCCCCTTTCCAGGTCCTTTGCACAGCTGGAATGATGTAGAAAAGACCTTACAGAAATGAGAATCAGACTATAAAATAAAACCCCAGGCATTCCATTCATAAAAATAAGCCTACATTATATAGTATATACTATACTCAATACATAGAAGAGAAAGAGAGCTATTATATAGAATATATACACACAAAACCTAAGGATCCAAATAGATCAAAAATGAGCAGTTATGTCTTCAAGAAATGAAGTGCATTAACACCATATACTGTGATAAAACTGCATTATTATAAGAAGATTTCACTATTTGCATTTTCTTTGTATGACGAAAATAATCTCATTAAAGGAATCCATTTGGTAGTGTAAATCTGTGCAGAGAATTTTAAGTTTAGTTCAAGTAATACGTAGAAGCTCTAAAAACGGCAAGAATTTAAGTCATTAAGTCCTGTATTGTGATAAACTATGCCTCAGTTATAGCATTATAACTAATTAACATTAAGAGTTGCTAAATGTTTGGATAAACTGCATTTTCACTGTTAATACATGTCTTTTCTTATGACAGGTCACTTTTGAATCAGAACGTGGGAAGGGCAAAACTGGAGAAATTGGAGTGGACAATGTTATACTAGTTCCAGGTCTATGCCCAGAAGATACCTGATAATGGGTAATTGAGTATACTGTATTTAATCCTATTTTTCATATTTGCCTTACTAGTAGTGTATTTTTGTATCATTTTCTTTATAAAGAAAACCAAAATAAAGCCATAAAACTAATGCCTTGAACTTAATGCGACAAAGAAAACAGAAAACCCAACATGTGCAAGATGCAGGGTACACTTTTTTATGAGTGTTCTAATTCTAATACATGTTTTGAATGTAGCACTATTGTATTTTATAATTCAAGGTTGGGGTTTCTAAAGTATTATTTGTCTAGTTTTTGTACAAATTCCAAATGCTTTTATTTCATAAAGTTCTTATCCAGGCTGTTCTTAAGTCTTTTGTTTCTTCTACTCCACAAGAACATAAAGCAGTATTTAAAAGGATGTTAGTACTTCTGGTGACATAATTTTAACTTCTTACTTAGTGAGTATGTCATCCCAAAAACTGTGATTTATCACCCAGTGTGCAGTGAGCCAATCACACACAGAGCTGAGGTATTTGTTTATTTAGTATCTGTGCAAAGATGGGTCCTAGGTGGCAAATCCACTAAGCTAGCACACCAAGCAGAAGAGACAAGCACTATTTATATGCTGTTTATCTTGATATATTCCACTTATCTAATACATATTCAGTGTTTACTACTCTACTATAGCTGAGTTGTGCTGAGCTGGCTTCTTATCTTGGGTGGCCTGGTGGTTTTAAGTGTTTGCTATTCTATCATTGCTGAGCTGTGCTGAGCTAGCTTTGTTAGTTTCTTATCTTGGACATCCTGCAGTAACACATCCTTTCTCCCAAATTTTGTTACCCCTCTGGGTCTGTGTTCTTTTAAACGTGTCAAGCCCTCAACTTTAATAAGGCAAATCTATTGACAAATAATTTTTCTTAGACATCAAGTAAACATTCAATCTATTCAACAAGTAGGAAGAAAGTGAGGAGCTTTATTTCCTTATTGATGGAGCTAAGCAAGTTGTAGGTATATTCATGTCTTTGAGAAATATTTTCATTACCAATAAAGTATGTAAAATACCTTGCTTGTCATCAGTGTTTTTGAGTCACACAAATAATTGTTTAGAAAGGATCCCTTTATAGTTTAATAAACACTTAATGTTCGTCATTAACAGATAATATTACCAACTGGCACAGGAAAAAAGAGCAAAAAGAATGACCCATTATTAACATTTAAGAAACTTCACATTATATAGTGACCTTCAGAAACAAAAGGCTTCTGCTGAATTGCAGGACTACTTTGCCCCACAGAGGTGAGAAAGAATGCTTTTCATTTTCCAGGAGACAGAACGACCTAGTGGCCACAAAATAAGGCTCTTCTCTCACAACTGAAAAAAACCCCAACTTTGTTGTGAGTTCCTTCATCACACATCAACAAAAAGGATGAAGACTATCTGTCATCCCCAGAAGCAGGATGGTGAGCACCTTCTCCCACAAACTAGGAGCTGCCACCACTGCCACACTCACCCATGCACACACACACTTAAATGTGCCTGTGCATGTGCACATACACATTTGAGAAGGGTCTAGAATCCAGGATCCATCTTTTCTGGAAGAAAATTGACTGACAGTGCTGTGGAGGACAAGAACATTTTTTTCGTCCATCTTTTCTGGAAGGAAATTGACTGACAATGCTGTGGAGGACAAGAACATTTTTTTCTGCCTTGTGATCTCTTCTGAAAGTACCTAACTGTCTGAATCCCAAAAGAACAGAGACCATAGAAAAGCCCTGGTTCAGGCAATGTTCAGTTAAACATGTGTGCATACACTTTCCTCTTGGTTAGCTCTATGTATCCCCTTCTAGCGTGTGCATACACTTTCTTTTGGTTAGCTCTATGTATCCCCTTCTAGACTGGCTGCTCACTGTTTATTATTAGTGAAGCTCTTATTTTATTTCTTGTATGAAGAAGGGAACATCCAAGATGACTGAATAGAATTTTGTACACTGACACTGAAGAACCTTGAAGAATGCAACCTATATGAAATGAACCTAAGCTTTTTAACAAAAAAACCTACAACATTCAAACATCTTGAATTGGACGTATGAAGCAAGTCTGGGATGCTTGAGGCATTTCTTGTTGAAACACAGTATTTTTGCACTGTGCACACAGCTGAGGAAAGGGTAAGCAAAATAGAAAGATATGGGAAGTTTACAATAGCTATGTAACCAGGAAATGCTGCTTTTTTGTTAGAACTGGTTTGGGTTACAAAACAGGTAATCCAACATGGACTTCAGCTTTGACATGTGAATCTGTTTCCCAGTGTCTGTGGAGGTGCTGACAAAATTGCAGAATAAGGACTTAGGAAAACCAAACTCTAATCTCAGGATGAAGACTCTGGGAGTTTGAAAGTGAGGGCAGTATTCCTTCTGTAGCAGATTGGACACTGTCTGTGATCTCAGGATGCCTGAAGAACCTGGTCACAATGAGGCAGAAAAGTGAAGCAAGTATTTTTCTGGATTCACTCTTCTTTGTCTGACTCTCTGAAGTTGAACTAATCTTACTGAAGACCAAGAAAATGAAAGTTCAATTTTATTGAAATCAAATTCTGTGCCTAGCTTCAAACAGCAATAATTTACACATACACAGTGCCTGTAAATCCTAAAAAGCTTATGAGTCATTATAGCCTTGAGCATTGCAGTACAGATGATATATCTCTGAAATATATACATGAAGCAAACAGAGTCTAACTAAAAAAGTGCAGTTAGGCATTTCTTGCATGTGCAGTTATTTGGCATGTGGAAAGCACAATATCTAAAGGTTATTTGCTCGATACACAAACAATAGAGAGTAAACACAATGAACATGGTCTGACATGGAGCCAGATATGCTGATATTTATTCGTTGTGGTTGAGCCATAGCCCACCATGAATCATCACTGTGACAAATACTTAAGTGGTAGAATTCTACCCAGAAAAGACATAAAGATTTTGCATTTCCTGGACTGAGTAAGAAAATTATTTGCACAGATCAGTACAACCTGCAATGGCTGCCAATAAGGCTTTCTGCAGTCGAGGCAGAAGTTTTTTCTCACTTGTTTGCAATGGATTGTCATAAACAAGACAGTTTGTATCACAGCAGATCATACAAATAATTCTAGCATAATAAGATCTGAATAGCAAAACTGAAACCTTTTTTGTAGTGAATAAATTCAAAGATAGCGTCTACAGAAGCAACAAAATAAATCCATTCTGTATAGACATTCATATAAACCACATCAGAGCATCAGCAAATTAACTGGTATTGTTTGCAACATTCATTCTGAAGACAGAACTGCTCAGGGCAAAAGCTACATGTTTCTCCCTCAGATGAAAACAGTTAAAGGGCATATTATGCCTAAAGCCATTGATGCCTCAAAATGTTCCTGACAGTTTTCCATTACTGTGAAATGTTAAATCCATTATCTGCTTGATTATATTAGACAGCAAAGAAACTGCACTGGGAGTATTTGAAAATGTTACAAGTATGCTATAATCAAGTGCTTGAACTTTGATAACATTTGTAACTTTTAAGTCTGATAAGACACTTTGGAGACAGTACTCTGCCTATAAGTTAATAGAAAAAAAAGTGCTGCTAGCTAATTACCCAGATCTACACTACATCCTTCAAAAGCTACTTAGCAGATGTGATCACTTAATCTTGAACGTTGTAACAAAAACTTCAGATCACTTTTCTTCAACTGCCAAAAGAACTAGCAGAGACATTTCATTTTGTCACCAGTGAATACATGGGAAGGCAGAGGCATGTTCCCACAGGATGGGGATCTTTTAACCTGCAATTGAAAGGAACTTAAAATATTCTCCAGCTATTAGATGTTATTTTTATTCATTTCATATGGATTCCCTAATGCAATTTTTCAGGATCATAAGGATCAGGATAATGAATAGATGTTTTCAATGACTGATTGCTGCTCATATTTACTTCATAATTGCTATATTGTTAATGACAGTCATACACCTGCATGCACCGGAGGTATTGAAGGTCATGACAATATATTAATGAAAAGTTAAATAATAAGAAAGTGTGAATAATAATTTATTTGGTCATATGCATAATCGTAACATTAAAGCTCATCACAGCAAGAGATTTCTGATAGAAAGGAATTTTTAATTTTGATAGTTATTAACCTCTCAAACACCTGACTTTAAAGTTTGATTTCAATAAAGTTAGACACCTCAGCTCTTTGGGAAAGGCACATTACAGAACTGCTGAGAGAACACAGATTGCTAATTTTTTATTTGGTGAATATTTAGGCTTCAGTGATTCAGTGGGTTTGGTTCTTGGGGTTTTCTTTGTTTGTTATTTAGGAAATAGGCTAATATTCTGCCTGAAAACCTCTGTTTCTCAGTATTTCTGTAATGCATTATACCAATTTCTATTTCAATTTTATTCCTGAGAATCTTCTCTTAAGACAGACTTGAGAAATCATTTTAAAAGTGATCCTTTTAGGTCCTCAGATTAAAGCTACCTTAAATCCCACATTTACAGTATTTTATTCATTCATTTAAAATGGAAGGGAAACATTTGGAAGCTAAATATTATGTAGAATAATACAATTTATGATAAACAAGTAGTGTATTTGATGGCAATGAAGTCTGAGTTAAAGGAAAGAACATTCCCCTAGACTTGCTTTAAAATAGCATTTCATTCATTTTTCTTCATATACTTCTTTTTATTTCCATGCAAAGATGGTGCTTCTGCAACAAGCTGGATGGTGTGCAGGAGTACTGAAAAGCTCCCCAGACATGTTGCAGAAGTTGCTGCAGTAGGGACCAGTGGATCCTACAGATGCTGCAGGCCACTTGCTCCAGTTCCTGCATGCACATTCTCTCCCTCTACTCTCACAGTCTTTCCATTCCAGTCTTTCTTTACTAATCCTTCCTCTCCTGCTCCAAATAATTCCCCAAGTCCCTTCTCTGTGCTGTCACTTCCAGAATGACCTTACCCTGGCCTTGCTCTGTCCCCCTGAACTTATATCTGCTGCTCCCCAAGTCTAAGCTCTCCCTCAAATGATTCCCAGGCAGAGTTTGGGAGTCAAAATGCTCCAAGAATCACTGCCAGGAGGCAGTTTGCATGCAGAAGCCCCATTCTTTTTCTAGTGTAGAGTGAGAGGTGGCATGTCTAATTTTCTGATGTTTGTTCTGTACACAGACAGCAGCAAAGTCAGCAGCTCATTCAGGCACTTTAAGTCTTCTTCCAGAGCTGACTGCCCTGTCCATTGCTCTCTGCTGGCTGTACAGGGAACATCAGTGCTTAACTTCAACGCCCCAGATCTGTTTGCTGAACTGAACACCCCTGGGGTGCAGTCAGTAAATCTGACTCAGGCAAGTAAAGCAGGCAATCAGAATTCCATCCCTGGAAGTGTTTAAGAGGTGTCTGGTGCTGGAGGATATGGTTCATGGTTTATGGGGTTACAGCAG